TCAAGCCATGCGTCCTCAGCTTTCCCATCCTTCTAGAAACAGCAAGTTGAGCTGACCATATCTGAGCCTGAGAAGTTTCTTCAAGCCAGAGAAGATTCTGGGCCCTTTTAGGTGAATCGGTTTCCCCATTTACCTCTTTAGCCCCTGCGAGGTGTGGAGGGAGCATATATCATTCCTGACAGTGCTTAGTTTGGTGTGTTGGATGTGTGGATGGTGGGTCTCTCCACCACCTTCCCTCACGGTGGCACCAGGGGCCCAGGGGGCGGGTGCCCCCAACCCCATCCCTAATTCCTCTTCTACCTCTGTACTTGGAAAAAGAAGGGATAGTGAGCATCTTTGGGGGCTTTTTCCCCCAGAGGCCAATGAGGGCACCCCCTATTATGGAACTGAGGAAAAGTTTCAGGGTTCTGTGGGGGACAGTGCTTATGATGACAGGGGTCTATGAATAATTTCTCTTCTCATTGAATGAAATCACCTCCTTAAGAAGGGAGGGAGAGAAGTAGAGAAGGGACTAGAAAGAGCAAAGGGACATCCTGTGTGTAGCTGGGGGTGGGGAGAGCTCTGGGGACCCTGATAGTGACAGGCGAGGTATAAATAGCCTGGGCCCTGCGGCTCATGTTCTGTCGGCTGGCTGCCTGTGACGAGGTGCTCAGGAATTCCACTCTCCCTGTTGGCAACTCCTTCTCCCTATCTCTAGCACTCTCATTCTCCCCAAGACACTTTCAAATCATGGCGAAATCCACTCATCAGGCACCAGTACTGTCCATCCACTTGGGAGGCTGAGCTCTGCTGTGGCGAGAGTCCCGGCTCCTGGGACACACACAAGGGAACTGTATATGTACAAATGCCGACTTCTGACAGCCAGCCCGAGATGCCAGGAGCTTAGGGTTCAGCAGTGCTGCCTCTGAAGCCCTGGTGAGGAAACTGAGGCACAGATCTGAGAAAGGATACATTTCTCTTTGAGCTGCTGGGGTGGAGAAAGGGTTAAGGTGGGGTAGCTTGAGCTGACCACCCCTTTACAGACCCCGATGGTTCACAGTCCTATTTTGCAGGTGGTATCTGAGGTCCCTCAGCCAGCTGAACGCCTCTGTTCAGGTGGGAGAGGCCTGAGGAAGTCAGGGAGGGGAGAAGGAACTCCCAGCGTAGCTTCCCTTGCTTTCCCTCTGACTCATGAGCTCGCTCCAGGAGAGGTCAGTGTACGGGCCCCAGGGGATCGAGTGAATGGTTGGCAGAGGAGAGGAGGGTGCAGAATGCCAAGAGATGGTTCCCGTCACCCACCCTCCCCACCGCAACCGTCCTCAGAAACCTGAGCCTGTTGCTCTCCAGGATAAATCGGGGCCTGACTCAGGCCCCAGCAGCCAGTGACAGTCAGCCCGACCCAGGCACAGGCTGGTGACTCAGCCCTCAATATAGCCCATGAGCCCAGGCCCCGGGCCTGGCCAGCCAGGCTGGAACAGACCGTGCACAATGCTGGGCCTGGGCCTGCCAAGCAGGGCCCCCTCCCCGAGAAGTGCTGACATGCTCCTCCCCAAGCCAGGCAGGGGCACACAGGGGCTTACAAGGGGTTTCATCAGCTGAGTATCTGGGTAGTGCTGGCTGGGGCCACAGGCCGTTTATAGCCCCCTGACGCACCATCTGCTGACCTATCTCAGGAGACCAGGTTGCCTGGCTCTTCACCTGGTCCTGCCTCTGCCATCAAGGGGCTCTGCTCATCAGCCCTCATTATTGGCCATATTTAACTTGGGCTGAGCTGAATCCAAGTGAGCGGGTACAATGAGCCATGTTTGAAAATCCTGTTTTTCTGGAACCAGGGACATTTCCACAGTCACCTGTGATGATACTAGGCTGGCCAGACTCACAGAAGGCACTTTCGGTGATACTGATACAGACTGTGGCTCTGATGCAGGTGCCAGGGACAGTGTGGTAGAGTGGAATGAATTCCAGCCTCTCCATTTCTAGCTCTGTAACCTTGGGCAAGTAATGTAACTCTTTTGGGCCTGTTTTCTCATCTGTTATTATTTTTTTTAATGTGTGAGAATGAAATCACCAGAAAGATGACTAGCATGGTGCCTGGCATCTAATAGGTGATCCAAAAAAGTTAGCTTCCTCTGATAATCTTGGAGACCAAGGGGTTCTGGCGAGTGAGCACTTCCCCTGTAGCTCTGTGTCCACACCCCCATGGGGACCACTGCCTCGATCTCCAGGCTGTTCCCCTCTCCCCTTCCCTGCGACCCAACACTCCATCTGCCACAATCAGAACTGGCAGTACCTGTCATCTTTAGAACCACCCACCCTGCCCCAATAGCAGCTGGTCCTTGACAAGAGTGGCAGCAGGTGGCTGCTCTACCTCTTGGCCTGGGAAGGGAAACCAGAGAGGGCCAGGCTGCAGGGAGCTCACAGAAAGGAGGCAGTTATGCAGAGGGCAGCATTAGGGAGAGACTGAGGCTCCTAAAGGTGCTTTGAGTCCCTGGTTTTAGCGCACCTAGGCCCAGGTGGATGCCTGCCTGGGGCTTCCAAGGGATACTCCTCCAGATTTGAGATCAATTCCTCCTGTCTTTTTTTTTTTTTCCAGTATAAATGCAGCGGGTACAAGTGCAGTTTTGATACATGGATTTATTGCCTAGTGTGAAGTCTGGGCTTCTAGTGTAACATCACCCAAATAGTGTCAGTTGTATGCATTAAGTAGTTTCTCATCCCCCTGCCCCCCGCTTCCAAGTCTCCATGTCTGTCAGTTCACATGCTATGTCCCTGTGTACACATTATATAACTCCACTTATAAGTGAGAACATCCTACTGACTTTTTTAAGCTAGCTCAAGTGAATGTTTCACATCCAACAAAAAAGACACCGCTTTAATATACCTGAGTAACAGCGTATCATTAAGACAAGGAGACAGAAAGCTCAAACTAAATGAAGAGAATTTCTTTAGGTTGCAAGTAAGAACATACAATCTAATATAATTGACTAGGTAGGTGCTTCTCAATTCTTACTATGCATACGAATCAACTGGGCATCTCATTAGAAAGGCAGATTCTGCATCAGTAGGTCTATGTTGGGGCCTGAGATCTGGCTTTCTAATAAGTTCCCAGGTGATGCTGATGCTACTGATCCATGGGTCATGTGGAGTAGCAAGGAGCTAGACCAGCCTGGGTCAGAACTGTCTTCAAAGAGGAGTCATTTAGAGCAGGGACCCACAACCCCCAGGCCATGGACCGATACTGTGAGGGATCTAGGTTGCATGCTCCTAATGAGAATCTGGCTAATACCTCATGTTCTGAGGTGGGACAGTTTCACCCTGAAACCATCCCCATCCCCCCTCCATCCATGGAAAAATTGTCTTCCATGAAACTGGTCTCTGGTGCGAAAAAGGTTGGGGACCACTATCTTAGACGAAGGCAAGAGGCATGTGGCACTGTCCTCAATTTGCCTAGTTGCAGTCATGTTTCTAGGCGGCTAGTCAAAATTTCAGCACTGGCCCCATGTCTGCGAACATGGACTCTCAATTCAGCCATGTCACTTCTCTGGGCTGAATACAACGTGAAAATCTCTCAATTTTAAATGTCTTTGCTACTCCCCCAGGTAAGAGCTAGAGAAGGAATGACTTCATTTAGCTTGGAAGTGTACCACGTACATGCTCTGTACATGTGTTTCTTTGGATGTTTGGTTGAATGGAACAAAGTCCTTTCAGGTGAGGGGGTAACAAGAGCGAGACTCCATCTCAAAAAAAAAAAAAAAAGAATATGCTTGGGGCTGGGTGTTGTGCCTCATGCTTGTAATCCCAGCACTTTGGCAGGCCAGGGCAGGACTGCTTGAGCCCAGGAATTTGAGACCAGCCTAGGCAAAATGGTGAAACGCTGTCTTTAACAATAAATACAAAAATTAGCTGGGCATGGTGGTGCATGCCTGTGGTCCCAGCTACTTGGGAGGCTGAGGTGGGAGGCGCTTGAGCTCAGGAGGTGGAGGTTACAGTGAGCCGAGATGGTGCCACTGCACTCCAGCCTGGGTGACAGAGTGAGATTCTGTCTCAAAAAAAAAAAAGAGAAAAAAGAAAAAACAAGAAAGAAAGAAAAAAGAATACACTTGGGGTCTTCTTTCATATGGAAAGATTCATGATGAGAACATCCAATCACAAAGTTTCCACAGGAACGAAGGTAAACAGGGACGCACATAAACTACCCTCATCATTCTACTTTGCCCAGTTAGATCCATCTCAGGCCTCTGTCCTGCTCTGAGCTCTAGGAGGCTGAGCTTAATAGATTATATTACCTGAGCACCTCTGCTCTTTGTCTTCCCATTGGGTTCAGCTGATGAGAGGTACCAGCAGAAAATGGGCAGGTGGGAAAAGGTAGGGGAATACATAAAAACCCCAGTTAATCATCGCTTTGGAGGGGGCTGCACCCCCTGTGGCTGCCACACCTGCCTGGGGCCCATTTTTAGAGCTCCAGCTCTTGCTTCCTTCCTGCTTCAGCCTGGGATGCTAACAGCTTTACACTGTTGCTAGTGCCTGCTACTTCACTACTTTTTGTTGCTTCTCCTAACCCTACCTTTTCTACATAGTCCCTTCATTAAACTCTCTTCATGTAAAGCTTTGAGTGTGTCACCTGTTTACTGCCAAGACCCTGATGATTAAAGTCATCTCTGAGGGTGAATCCCTTGAGAAGTCACAAAGGCTAAGCCAGGAAGGCACACATGTGGATCTTCTTAGGGCAGCCTTCTCATGTAGATAGGTGTGGGCACAGAATCTAAGGGGAGGTCCTCCCCAGCCCCCGTTCATTCTATTTCTCAGTGCTCAGGCAAGTACCTCAGGATGGGATTAAGAAGCATAGACCAACCTTCTGTGAGTCAGCTGACAGCACAGGGGACTAGCCTCTTTTCTGCAGTCATCTGCAAGGTAACAAGCCATATTTAGGAGTCAGACCCTTATGTGAGGTATTTGGTTAAAGGGGAACCGCTCTGTTCTGGTTGTGTTGAGAGGCATTTAGCAAATAAAAAGCCACAGTCTGTGTAATTCAGTTGATATTTAATTACAAGTAACTCAGGTTCTTATACAAGGCAGGAGATGGGAGTCGGCGCTCCCCACAAGACTTTCCAGCCTGGGTGACTGAGGCTGAGGAAATGGGGACACATGGAACATATGGGGAGGGTTCTGGCACAGTGTGTCCTGCCCAAAGCTGAGGGTGGTGGCCACTGGGGATCTGCCCTCGCGCTGGCCAAGGTCTGCCATCACTCCATGAGGCAGAACTCTGACTCCTGCTGTCGCATGTTGGGTAACACATACAGAGCCACAGCTGCAATAGCCAAGAATACCATAGGCTTCCACAACCCAAACATGTTCTGTGGGGACCAAAGAGAAACTGTGAGTGCCCAGCCTCCTGAACCCTGCCCTAAGCCAGAAATCACCTGCTTATGGGTGCCCGAGACACCTCGGGAACTTCGTGGATCAGTCTCTCTTACCTCCTGGGTAACCGGTGGAGATAGGTGCTCTCTCAGTCCTGGCACCACTAGACGTGGCCCAACACTGTACGTACCACCTTAGGTGGCTGCCTATATCCAGGCCTCCATTTCTCCCCATGGGCTGAGAACACTAGCTCCCAGGAGAAGCAGGCCCAGGGGCCAGACTTCCCAGTGGTTGCAATGAGAAAGGACCAGATGCCATGGCAAGACAGAGGAGAGTAAATCTGGGCCTTTGGGAAAAGCAGCAGCACCTCATTAGCTTCACTGTAGTGAAGTGAACTCAGAGTCAAGAGGATGGGGAAGGGGGGATAAGACGGAGGGAGAAATGAAGAATGTGTGCCACGGAGTGCAGGTCAGTAAGAGGCTCTTAGGCAGACAGACTTTGACAGAGAATGACATTGGTTCAAGGAAATCTAAGGAAACCTGTCACTGGGCCTGGGTCATTAAAACACTCCCAGTTACCAGGTATGTTGACTGACTTCCTGGTGCATGTGCTAGAGTGTGCTGAGGCTTCCAGACACTGCTGGCCACTAGTGAACCCTGCTGATTCATGGGAAAAGTGACACCATCAGAAAATATCCAAAGGGCATCCATTAGGGAATATGAAAATCTTAGAAAATACATACTTGGGGAAATAGGTTTTATTTTTATAACTTTTTTTTTTTTACTGTACTACCTGAAAGGTAGAATTTGGATTCTGAGTCATAAGCTATGGCATAAGGTAACAGAAAGATGGTTTTCAGTAAAAATGGACTACAGCCCATTAATGCTAAGAACACATGTGCTCAGATGGTAATTGATCTTAAAATAAAAGGATTTTAAACCTGCTATAAAGAACAAAAAAAAAATCTCCTGAGCTTGTAGAAATAGCTACTAAGAACAATAGAAGATATGAAATGGAAAGCCAAACAATGTTAGAGGTGGATATACAGAGTAATTCATGTAAGAAAACCAAGAGGTCCAGAGGCTGAGGCAGGAGCATCGCTTGAGACCAGGAGTTCGAAGTTACAGTGAGCCATGTTCACGCCACTGCATTCCAGCCTGGGTGACAGAGCGAGACCCTGTCTCTAAAACCAAAAACAAAAACTAAGAAGGGAGCTAGCTAGGAAAAAATATTTACAAGCTCAGATGTTTCTATCCAAATGTGCATTGCTAAGAATGTTAGTCTGTTCTGAAAGGAGTGGGGAGCTGAAATCCTTTAATGTGACTGGTGCACTTCACACTGGGCAGAGGCAAGCTTCTACACAGGATGGGGAAAGGGCTGCTGTGGGTGTCCCAAAGGGGTAAGTTGTGTCAAACTTTCCTTCTAAACTAGGTGACCAAAGTAACAAATCACTAGAATCATGTTTTTGGATATGAGTTGTCTGATAGGATTTTCTGTGATATCTTTGCAGATAATATGCAGAAATAAGGGTAGGACGACAGCACAGTTTGTGGTATGACAGGTAAGTGACCAACGAGCTGAATAAAAGAACCCTAAGAGACAACACTCCAGAGGCTCTGTCCTCACTTGTTACTAGATGAAGACAGGGAAGGCGGGCTTGCCACCCCTGTAGATGACGTGAAGGTGGCAGACAATGAATATTTTAAAACCACAGGGTCAAGATTAAAAACACACACACGAAACCTCATAAGGTAAGAACAATAAACTATAATGGTGAAGAATAGAAAATTCTGCCTTTGAAGCCTCAAAATCAAATGCAGGTACAGAATGGGGAGAGGATGCTCGGCATACACAATCTGCAGAGGGGCTCGTAAACAATACATGAAATAAGTTAATAATATATTAGTTACCCAAAGAGCTAATGTGACCTGAGGTTGCCTAAACAGAAGAATGGTGTCTTCCTACTTGGGACCAATGAAGGGAAACTGCTCAAAACGAGGAGAGACGACAAGGGGAAGCAAGATTGGAGTCTTATCTGTGGCTAATATTGAGTCCTTATAATCTGATTTGTAGCTTCCTGGCTGTTTTACTTAACCTCTCTATGCCTTAGTTTAATCATTATAAAAGAATTATAGGAATAGCTTCTTCACAGGGTAGTTGCAAGGATTAAATCAGTTAATATATGTAAAGTGATTAGAACAGTGCCTGACACATAAAATGCATTTTGTAAGTGCGTGCTCTTTTAATTATTGATGTGGTATTTTATAATTTATAGAATACTTTCATCTACTTTAACTCATCTGGTCCTGACAAAAACCTGTGAGGCGGGCAGAGGTTTGATCATCCTTTGCTTACATTTGAAGAAACTAGGGTTCAGAGAGTGCATTTTGCTCCCTGGGACAATGCCTGTCAGTAGGTGCAGACTGGACCAAGTTCTCCTGACCACCTGGCAGCCACGCTTGCTACCACACTGTGCTCCCTCAGGTCTTGGCTGCACAGATGCATGTCGGGGCCCCCAGAGCTCCAGGGATAACAGGCCCCACCAGGAGAACCCTTCACCCGCAGTTCTTCCTCTCCCTCTGATTGGGCTGGGCTTAGTCGGACGTGGTGGAAGGCTGTGGCTGAATGCTTTGGGTCTCGCCTGTAGGGCCTTAAGACTTCTACAGCTGCACAGGGGAGGAATAGTCATAGAGAGGGACCCCGTCACTAAAGCAGTTATGGACCAGGGAGTAAAGGGAATACCTAAAGTCAAGAAGAAAGGTGGAGGCTTGAAGATGAGTAACAGAAAATCTGGGGAGGGAGCAGGAGGAAGCACAGAAAAAGAAATGGAGAGAAGTGCTACCAACAAATGCTCCAGCTGCCACCCTGCGGCATCAAGCCTGCCACACTCCATTAACAGGAATGTGAGAACAGAGGGGAGTGGAGGGGGTGGCAGGGAGAGCATGAGAGAGGAGCCAACGCAGGACTACAGAGAATACCTATGGGTTCCAGAAGGCAAGTGGAACCCCAGTTCTACCTTAGGCCATAGGAGCACATTCTGCTTCCTGAGTTTGGTATCCTGTTGACAGTCTACATTATATGTGTGAGGGCCAACTGGAAAGTGGCTAGAATACATCAGTCTTGATTTCCTCAGAACACACATCTCTGGCTAGTAGAAACTTTTCACTAATACCACGATCTCTCCAGAAAACCTAGCTTGGGAAGCCAATTACCATGGAATCTGGCCCACAAAAGAAATAACAGAGAACTAATAAAATATTTCCTGGCATTCTCTTCTGACTTTTCTGGAGACTGGAAGTCCAGAAGCACAAAACCATTCAGTAGAAGGTGCAGAATAACACAGTAGGGGTTCAGTTCCATTTCACCAAGGTCGAAGGACCAACTTAGGTTGCCCTCCTACCAACGCCCCTGGGAGGATTATGAGGATCATAGCTCTTCGGACCTCTTCTCTCTCCCAACAGAAGAGGGATTCCTTATTTTGCCATCCTGGGTAGCAACAGTAGTGAGAACTTGGCTCTGGGGTTAAACAAAGACAAAGAGAGCCCAGGCCAGCCTGGCAGACAAATATCAGCTCATCAGAAGTGGTCAGGCTTGCCATCACACAGAGGATGAGGGGGAAAAAGAAGTAGTGAGGCAGCTTTGACAGTAGCACCATGCTGGGCTTATCCAAGTTTTTCCCAGCCAAAGACTGAAACTCAAACCATGTCTCTGGCAAGCATTCCAACTTCCTATGCATTATGAAGACATGCTCCAAGATGTCACAGGCTTTGCAGTAGCCCAAGGAAAAGTCAGAACTAAAACTCAGACTTGAGCATCACCTATTGTAAAATGGCACAAGCAAGAAGCAAGCAGCTGGGAGAAAAGGGAAAGAGGAGAGGCCAGGGCAACCTGCACCCTCCCTCTATCCCTCAGAAAGAGAGGAAGCAATACCAGTACCTGCATTAGGACGACGTCTCAGCCCACCAGCACCAGAGCAAAGCCGAGATGACCACCAGGCCTACAAGAGGCAAGGAGAAGATGGGGGGATCGGGGGTAGGGGATGACTGCAACACACCGAAATGAGAAAGAAGCACGAGGAGAGACCAGGAGATGTGAGACATAAACACATGGATCCAACAGATAATGAAGATGAGAAAACAAAGGGAAAAGAGAAAGGAATCAAGAGGTTAAAAAACAGGTAAGCTAGAGCAGTTGCATGTCTTTTCTGCTGCCTGGGCCTTGGTTCTTTCCACCAGCAGTCTGCAGGAATTGCAAAATTGAATGGGTTAAGCAGCAGCTAGGTCCAAGTCAGGTGGCGAGTCCAGTTTTCTTTCTGTCTTGTCATAGACCTCTCATATCTTGTCAGGCACGAGGTGTCTGCACCTAGACCCTTCTTGTGACACTGCAGAGAGTAAACAGCTTCCTTAGAGGAGTAGGGCAGATGCTTTTCCTAGGTCGCCCTAGGAAAGAGCCAGTGTTCTACCAGGCCACCTATCCCTTTGTTCTAGCCTGCTTTCCATCAAGTTTCTTAGTATTTTGGGCTCTGGTCTCTTGGATCCCCTAGGAATCTAATGATATCACTGTAAGACAAAATGCACTGAAACAAACTGACAAGGGAGAAGGGCTAGTTCTTCCACTGCAACAATCTTCCAGACAGAAACTGGATTTGCAAGGTGGTAACACACATGCCCTAGAGCTGCCTGCAAAAGATGCAGGACCAGGGGGCAAAGGGATCTCTCCGTATGTAGACACATAGAATGTATTTAAAGTAGAAAAATCATGTCTAGCTTTAGAAATGTGGCACCCAAGGTAAAGACATCTGTGAGGCCCTGAACCAGCGCTGGTAGAATACGATGAGTTGAAGGAAACATGATAATGGGAGGGGCTGCAGTGCCTCTGACTTTTCACATCTTAGGTAACAGTCTCTAGCACAAGGTAAACAGAGCACTACACACTGGATCCTTAGCAAGTGCTGAAGACCGAATTGCTGGAAATTCCAGATATTCTTAGAGTTGACTGGACAATCCCGCCACAAGAGGCTTTTTTCTTTACCTCTGTTTAGGACAGAAAGAACCTTTAATGTAAGCTGAGGACTTACACAGGAAATACTGTAACTCTTTAGGGGCTCTGAGCCCCCAGTTAAGCCCAGGGCAAGAATTCAGTTGCCACATACCTGCAGAAACATACCAGTCACTAAAATATGGAAGTACTTCTATACTACTGGTAAGTTACCCCTAGCATCCTGGCATATATATCCCAGGATACCTCCACCCCAGCCTCTCAACGATCCAGCAACTGAAGGGATGGTCTCCTTGGACTAGTCTATGCCCCTACTGTACTGATGTGAAATATTTTCACTATCACTCCCAGGCCCCAATTTCATATCCTGTGATATACAGAATCCAGGGGGTGACACGAACAAAGAAGAGATTATCCCGACACACCCCTAACAGCAACAACAAAGGTTAAAGCTAACAGGGCACCATAGAAAAACTGAGTGATGTGCCCAGGCCGACAGAAATGGCCTGAAGTAGACTTCACACTGTCAACATCCTTCCTGCAGTGCCGAAGAGAGGGATGAGGGCACAGCCTTGACATAAGGAAAGCAACAAAGGCTACTATGTAAATGAAAGGACTCCAGAGACCCCACGTTGGTTCCCAGAAAAGGCGGTCATTGTGAGGTGGTTCCACAGCAAATGGGGCTGAGCCCGTGACTTCCTGCAGACAGACTGCTCTCGCCTCCCCCTTCTGCATCTCCACCTCCCCGAAGGGCTGTGCCTTAGAGCGCAAGGCCTCTACTCCTGGAGTCATCCATCCTTGGCAGGGCCACCCATGAACTCTGAGGCACCGGAGTCTAAGCGCCCACTTCCCGCTTGATCTAGCCCTTGGCTCTGGTTACCTTTTTGCTCTCAGAAAGTCTGAGGGGGTTGTTTTCTTCGGGACTTTGAAGGGAAGGGTCGATGTCATCTTCCTCGTCTTCGTTGTCTTCTTCCTTGTCTTCGTTGTCTTCTTCCTTCTCCTCTTGCTCTCTGTCCTCTTCATTTTCTACCTGATCTTCTGTGGATTTAGCTTCCCCAGGATCTGCTGGCTCAGCTGCTAGCTCATCCCCACATGGCTCCTTTGTTTCCTCTTTCACTTCCTTCTCTTTTTCCTCCTCCATCTCCTCTCTCTTTTCCTCCTCTTTTGCTAGTCCATCTAATTTCCTCTGGCTGGCCTTGTAGTACAGCACCACCTCCAGACTCTGTGGGATGTGGGGTAGGGCAGGATGAGGGCTGCATTACCTGTGAAGCTCCTAATCTCATGACAAAGCTGTACTAGCTCAAGGAAACGTGACTTCCAGCATGTCACAGTGCAAGGGTCTGGGACTGCGAGCCAATCCTCCTGAGCATAATCATACCTCACCTCTCAGGACACTATGTCTGGCCACTAAGCCATGTCAGACAGCTGCCAGAACTAATGAGTCCTGGGCTCTGCACCTAAATTGTCATTTCCTACCTCTATGGTGACTCTTCTTTTACCCAATCCTGTTTCACTTATTAGTACACAACTATTTTTAACAAATTCTTCCCTCTTCATCTGTTTGGTACTTCTCTTGGGCATGCAACCCAGGAAGAACAGGGGTACCAGCAAATGGGGCTGTGTGAAATGAAATAGTTGTCCAGCCTAGGGGCTGTGGTCCTTTGGGGTCGCACCTCCCGATGTGAGTTGTCTGTGTTCCACCCGCCCAATTGCTTCACAGGAAAATGGAGCACCCACTTTCCATTAAGATGGGAACCACTGTAGACACTTCAGAGATTCCAGAGGCTTCTCTACAAATCCCTTGCCTGGTTGAACGGGCAGTGGAGATGATGCTTCTTCCCAGGATCTCCTCCTCCTTTCTGCTTATCTGGCTACTAAGGTTATTACTCACCTTTCTGGTCTCAAAGTCGCTCTCAGAAGTATCCGAGCACGGCTTGGTCACCTTTTTAGTTTTAACCCCATTGGCATTCTTGTTCATGTTCTTATTAGCATTCTTCCCCCGGGCTTCTTTGAAAGTGGAGGGCCTCTTCTCCCTGAGCTGGCAGAGCTCCTCCTGGCAGCACTGCAGCTGCCCCTCCAGCTGCTCCTGCACTGCCAGAAGCCGCCCCTGCTCATCCATGCTAGCCTGGTATTGCAGCTGCAGCTCCCGCAGCTTGGTCTGCAGGTCTTTGATCTGTTGGTAGTGGAGGGCCAGTTATCCAGAGTTGGTGGGTTATGCAACCAGTTGGTTGCCCATGCAACCAACCTCGGTCCTGCTTAGGGGGTCACTGCCTCAGAAATCTCCCTGCTAAAGGTCATAGGAAGTAGACAATAAAGAAAATATTCAACTGTGGAAAATAAGCCTCTCAAATAGTTTTACAAACAGCTTCTCTCTAACTTGAGGCACCTGACGATTTATATCTAATAAGATCAAAAAAACAGCCGGGCGCGGTAGCTCACTTGCCACCCAGTGTAATCCCAGCACTTTTGGAGGCTGAGGTGGGCAGATCATTTGTGGTCAGGAATTTGAGAGAGCCTGGCCAACATAGTGAAACCCTGTTTCTACTAAAAATACAAAAAAAATTAGCTGGCTGTGGTGGCAGGCACCTATAATCCCAGCTATTCGGGAGGCTGAGACAGGAGAATCGCTTGAGTCTGGAAGGCGGAGGTTGCAGTGAGCTGAGATCATGCCATTGCACTCCAGCCTGGGCCACAAGAGTGAAACTCCGTCTCAAAGAAAAAAAGAAGTCAAAAAACCGATTTAAATTGTGTTTTTTTTACTGTGACTGTCTGGCGAATAATGATAGGGCTGCTATCAATTCTGAACCTCAGGGATTTCTTATAGAATTCTTTTTACAGGAACTCCTACTTCATCCAAGCCATCTCTCTAATAGGAACAATGACGTAAAGAACTGCGTTGTACACTCCTGAAGTGTGTACTGGGCTCCTGCACCTCACCCTGGAAACAGAGGCAAGTCACACCCTGCTCCCTCATCTCGGGTTATGTCTTCCCTGGCTGACGGCAACACGTCACCATTCCCTCCATAGGTACCAATACTAGCCAATCTGGACCCATGTGCTCGCTGCTCTCTGAATCTCTCCCATGTATATACAAAGAGACTCCCACTGGACTGTGAGCCCCTGGCCAGAGACAAGGCTTCTGTCCCATTTCTAGGAATGGGACATCTTGGCACTGTGAGAGATCCAAAAGGAGACATGTCCCTGTCCTTGAGCTGCTTACAGTCTAGTTGGTGCTCCTAGTTGGTACACTGGGAGACACGGCAAATGAACACACAATGATGAAAGATTGGCAAGTGCAAAAATACACTTCTACAGAAGTGGTCTAGAACACAAAGCAAAAAAGAGAGCAGGAGTGGCAAAGAGAGAAACAGAGAAACCATTGACGAGAGGAGTCCTGACGACTAAACTAGTAAACCCCAGCTCCACGAGCACTTGGGAAATGTCATCAGGGATGCAGCAGACTGCCCAGCCTCTGAGCCGCATGCTCTCCCTTCTTTGTCCCTCTCTTTAGCCTCTCTGAAGTGGCCATGACTCCTCTGGCTCCAGGGGCTCCCAGAGGAAACCCTGTCTCCCTGACAGCAGTTACCTCATTCTTGTCATTCTGGGGGGCCACGGGCTTTTCAAGGCATTCCATGCACTCCTTAAACTCCTTTTCACAGGCATCCATCTCTTCCTTCAGGTCTTTCTGCTTGGCCAGTAACTTTTCCATCTGCTCTTGCAGCTGGCTGTGCTCCTCCTGGCTTATCTGGTACATGGCCTGCACTGCCTGCAGCTTGATCAGCACCTTAGCAACCATTTCCTCAAAGTGCTGTGGGGGAGGGGAGTGAGCAACAATAGCACCCCAGGAGCACCTAAGCTCCAACCAACTCTGCTGGGCCCTTCTCTGGATAACAAACAATGGCCATCAGGATCCGGAGCTGCCCGGGAGGAATACTGTATTTATCCCCATAAAGAGCACCATGGCTGTGGTGAGGAAACTGACTATGGGCCTCTGTTCAGATGGGGGCATCTCTCTACGAGAGGACTGAGGGGGAGGCCAGGCTGCCATAGGTAGAGGGTTTCGCTTACTTTCAGGAGTTCCCCACGTCAGCTCTGACCCCATTCCCACACTTCTTGTCCCTTCCCCTGGCGATGTATCTCTTAAAAAGACAAGAGTCCATCGTCCCCTGCCTGACCTGTCACCTGGCAATTGTTACCTCCATGTCTTCAGGCTCAGCAGGTTCATCGTCAGTGCAGCTGCTGACAAAACTCTTGTGAAAGGTGTCAGAGCTACTGGTACTGCCGTAAGTCTTCTCATAGGTAATGCTGCTGTTGGTGGTGGTACAATAGCTCTTTTCATAGGTCTCACTGGCACTGGTGCTGCTGTCATAGCTCTTGAGGAGGCTCTCGTCACTGGTCTGGGTGCTGGTATAACTCTTGCAATAGCTCTCATTGTCATCAATAGTGCTATCGCGACAGTTCTCATTGCTGGGGGATATGCTGCTACCATAGCTCTTCCTGTAGGACTCAAGGCTCATTTTTATAGAAGGGGACTGGACTTGAAGCAGTTGCATTTCTTCCAGGCAGAGCTGCAAGTCTGTCTGCAGCCTCTTCCGCTCCTCTAGGAGCCTCCTTTGCTCTTGCTGCAAGAGCTCCTGCTCCGCCTGACTGGTTTCATACAGCACCTGCAGGGCCTGCATCTGCTCCATAAGCAACTTGGATTTCTGGGGGCAGGGGTGGGGAGACATTATCATTACTCTGACATTTCAGTCCTTTCAGCTGCACCTTTCCTGATGCAGGTGTCTGAGAGCACATCTTAGCGAATGGCACGCCTACATTTCAGCCTCACACCAGCCTGTCTTTGACTTAGCCTACAGGTAACTGGCATGTGTCAGTTTCTTACTCATTTGGGAAAATCTCCCCAAGGCAGATACTCCATGATTTCTGGGCTCCCATTTTGGCTGGTTTCTGCACTCTGGTATATCCCTGTCTCCTTGGAGCAGTGGGTTTCCAGAACACGCTGGCTCCCTACCACACCCTCTTCTCAATCAGGTATACCAGTTATCCTGGCCTTCAGGTTCAGTTCCTTCCCCCATCCCTAGTTCTAAAATCAGCCCCAGCCTTGAATGCAGCAATATGAAGAACTGGAATCAAGATCTTACTATTAGTTCCTGTATCTCCTGCCCCAATTCTGAATCTGGCCTCTGGGCATGTTTCCCAGACCCTCTAGGCCTGGCTTCTTGGCTGCTGATGTCCAGGATGAGATCTGATCACTTAAGGAAATATTTTATACCTGGTTCACAGCTCTGTGTTACCGAGGCCTCCAGCCTGGACATCTGATGCCCCTGGAATATGACCCAGCCTCATAGCGTTGACTTTTGCTACTCCCTGTTCTCCTAGCTCGGCTAAGATCTGAATGAAAAGATTCAGCCTAAACCGAAACTGTCTACCTGTCCTTTCTTGCCCACACTGAGACCTCAGAACAACTTGATCCCCCAACCCTGAATAGAATTGTATGGTGATCTCCACCTGTGCCACCTCATCTACATGACCCCTTGCTGGTACTTGAGAGGCACTGATTTTCTGGTCTAACCCCTGTGATCTTGCTCTGTTATTGCCACCAAAGTTCCAATAAAGATACTGTGGTCACTACTAAGAACCTCATATGCTAGGAATTCTTCTCTTGGAAATGAAAGGGACCAAATTTGCCTCATATAGAACACCAAAGGTGATAGATTTTGATAACTGAGAAGTGTACTTTTTCACTCAAAAAAAAAAAAAAAGATGACATGTTTAGAGTCAGTCCAAAGGAATCCAAACAAACACCAAACTGATATTATACATCTTACTGGGAATGAGTCAAATGATCAGATTACAGACTTTGGGTCATCCCAGCTCTGCCCTGAGTGCTCACAGTGCTTCAGCTAAGCACTGTGAATATAAATGTGATAAAAGATAATGGCATCTAGGTGAGGTCCTTTGGCCGTATCTAAAAGCCACCTCTTAATGGAGCCTGTGAGTAGTCACAGCTGGTGAAGGGTAGGGCTTTAGCCTTATCCTTACCCCTGGCCAAATAGGCCTTCCCAACTCTGACCCTTTGGCTGTGCCCAGTCTCCCTGCCATGCTGTTGTGCTCAGGAGAACTGTCTCCCTACCTCTTACTATGGTTACCTTGTTTCGATCACATTTTGAGGACTTAGCCAATTTGGAATCATCTGGATTCTCCAACACTTCCTGGAAATGAGATTCTTTGAAACGTCGCAGCTCTTCATGTAGCTCTAATTGTTCTTTCAATACACAGTCTTGGTTCTGTATCAGTTTCTTCTGTTCCTCCTGCATGCCTTGGTAGAGCAGCTGCAGTTCGCACAGGTCTTCTAACTTGGTGAGTAGCTCCTGACTCTGAGGCGAAGTAGAAGGAAGGAGGCAAGGGATCGTGGTGGTTACCACAAGGAAGTCTGATGCCTCCCTGGTGCCTCATTCCTGTCGTGAACAATTCCCTGAAGAATCTCTGGGTTGGCTTCACAGAGCCCATCAGGGGACAGGGGGGCTTTCTATGGAGGCCTGCTAAAAGTAGTAATGATCTCTTATGTTGGGATATATTTTGTAGTTTACAAATGCTTTCAGGTGCATTTTCTCCAGATGGACTAAATAGCTAAATATAAACTGCTGCACAGATTCCAGAGTATAAAAAGATATTTTAAGATTTGAAGCCCTTATAAGAAAACTCTGGCTCTATCGAGCTTTTTGGTTTAGGGAGAGCGGTGAGAAAGTAAGGGGTGGTTGGTAAGGAGAAGAAAATGTTCAATCCCCATCATTTTATGTTTCCCTAGTCACACAGGGAAGCTTCTCAGAGCAGCTTCCCCACAGTAAGCAGCCGCCTCTGGTGGAGTTACCTTGAGTAAGAGGCCACTCTTGGGCAGTGGCAGTGTGAGCCTGTGCAGCTCTTCCTGCAGCTGGCCCTGCTCCTCCTGCATCCTCCTCTGATCCTCCAGGAGCTCACACTGCTCCATCTGCAGCTGCCCCATCTCCTTCTGGCTGGCCTTGTACTTTTCCTGCAATTCTGTCAGTCTGGACAGCAGTGTGTCACACTGTGGGCGGGGGCGGGTGTGGAGCAGGTGGTTAATCTGTAACGTAAGCTTCCTGGGTGGCTAGCAGAGCACTTCTGTGCTCTCCTGCCTCTTGTGATTCTCTCCCTGTGCAGTCACCTTGGATGGGTCACCCCAAGCCACATCACACCCTGGCTGTTTAGATGCCAACTGGGGAGCCCCAGTAGGCTACTCTTTCAGAGTAGGTTGTTTTAGACTGGTAGCTGGCCATGCTCTAAACTTCTACCATTCCCTTCTGGGGGCAGTTTGATAGGGCCTGCTATCGATGACCCTTCCTCCTCATTTCCCCCTTCCTCTTCTCCAGCCCTTTCGTGTGGTGTGTATATCATACTTCCCTCCTACCGGGAACTCTAGCTCCTGTTATTCTCATTAACCCCAGTTGTTTTTTTAAATATAATTACAATCCTTACTAATAAGGACTTAATTTTACCCTAAATTTTCCAATTTTTGCTTTCCTAATTCTCTCCTTAAATCTTTAGAAAAGTATGAGCTATTGCTCAATTTGGGTTGAGAAGACTAAATCATTGCAAATCATCCCACTTCCCAAAACCCAAATCTTCCAATATCAGACAGATCTCAATGCTATTTTATGGCTAGAGAAAAAGCAGGTGCTGTCTGCCAGCATGTGTCTCCTTTCCCATTGTTTCTTCCATTAGGGGAAGACGTGATGAGCAAGTCACAGACTCCCTGGGCTCCTAAATTGAGTAGAAATGGAGAAAGGAGGAAACATGAGCCTGGATATAAAAAGGGAAAGAGACTGTTGAGGTGGCCCAAATAACCTTCCCAATCCTCTGTCTCCTGTAGGCCTTTCCCCAGGGACAGGAACTACTGAGTTTTTTGGCAGAATGTGACCAGCTCCACCATCTTTAGAGACTTTTGGGTCTCTTCTCCAATAGGCTTCAACACCTTTCTGTTTCCCATCAGTAATCAGGAACTGAAAGTGCTCAACAGGATAAATGATAATGGCTTGCACTTTATACACTATGGAAAAGAAAAAATGAATAAGGCCTTTTTTTTTTATCACTATCAGAATTTATTACTAAAAGTAAGTGAGATGAGAGTAGTATTCTCTTCCATGTAAAGAGGGCACAGTTCAACCTTCAGGAATTTAATTACTGGCCGGGCTCGGTGGCTCATGCCTGTAATCCCAGCACCTTGGGAGGCCAAGGCAGGTGGATCACCTGAGGTCAGGAGTTCGAGACCAGCCTGACCAACATGGCAAAACCCTGTCTCAACTAAAAATACAAAAATTAGCCAGGCATGGTGGCTTGTGCCTGTAGTCCCAGCTACTCAGGAGGCTGAGACAGGAGAATTGCATGAACCCAGGAGGCACAGGTTGCAGTGTGCTGAGATCGTGCCACTGCACTTTAGCCTGGGTGACAGGGTGAGACTCCATCTCAAAAAAAAAAAAAAAAAGAAAAAGAAAAAGAAAAAAGAATTTAACTGCTTTGAAGTCACAGAATAAATCCTGGAAGAGCCTATGTCCTTCTTTTGCCCAATCAGCACTCTGGGCACAAGACCATACCCCCTTTTAAAAGCATTTGCAATCTGCGCCAGAAAAATGGCCCCTCTCTCTAGTTGTGTATATGGGCCCATGTATATGTTCTTCTCCATGAATGACTAGATATCACTACAGTTCTAATACCACTGTATAAATATCTATAGCTGTGTAAAACCTTCAGATGTTCTGACTGGGATCCAAATACACTGATCCTACTAAGCTGTGGCTCTGGCTCAAAGTCAAGGTCAGGGCAAACCGTTTTGAAGTCAGCAGCATGTGGCCCTGCCTCTACTTCCTGCCTAGGAAGTCCATCAAGCCCTTCCTTCAGTTGGGTGCCCCCACCTTTTGCCTCTGTACCTCCTCTGTCTGGAGCTAGTGCCCAGGAGCTGTCACCTCTCTGAATGACAATTACCTTATTAGCACACTTTCCTTTGTCCTCTGGAATGGGCTGGGAGGCCTTGAGCTCTTTCAGCTCCAGCCGGCAGAGCAGGAGGTCCTGCTCCAGCTGGTCATACATGTGCTTCTGCCGCTCCAGCTCGTCCTTGCTGGCCTGGTACAGCTGCTTCATCTCCTGAAGCTGGGCGTGGGTCTCTGTGTTCTGGGCAGGGGAAGCAGGCCTGGCCATCACCCCAGGCACTCCTGCTGCTGGGCTTTCTCCTCCCAGGCAGGGACTAAGGGGACCCGTCTTCCCTTATCCTACTCAGCCCCAATTTCATCCCAGCCAAGGATAGATACCCAAGATGGACCCGTCCCTAACAGGCTTGAAATACAAATCTTCCCAGTGTAGCCTCTCAAGTTAAATAAATTCATATAAAAATAATTTAAAAAGAAACACAGGCCTTCTGGGGCTTCTTTTTTTGGGAGATGGGGAGGTAAAGGGACTTCCTTTTTATATGCTGATTTTCTGATTTAAAATCCAAGGAAGCTGAGAGCCCTGTGACTTCCTGAGGCCACCTTTCTCCCAAGTACCTCTTTGGCCCCCTCACCGCCAACTCCTCCACACTTCTACCATTCCCTCTCCTCTGTGCTCTCCCCCTCACACAAGATGCCGCCTGGCTACATCCTCCCTCACCTGGAGCTTCTTTTACCTTCTCATTGCTCTCTCTGAAGGAGGCCGCCATATCCCTGAGGTGCTGCAGCTCTGCCTCATGGCACTGCAGCTCCTCCTGCAGCTGCTGCTGCCGTTCCAGCAGCTTTTCCTTCTCACATGTGACATTCTGGTGCTGGAGCTGCAGCTTCTGCAGCCGGCACAGTAACTCCTATGGTAGAAGGGGCTTTGGACAGTGCCTCTGGGCTCCTTAACCCACTGGCTTTTCTATCTGAATCACTTGAAGACACTGACAGTCTAAGATTTGCTTCTCCCTGCCCTGCCCTTCACTTCCTAATGTCCTCACCTCTAATGCAGTACTCCAGCAGGGCTGGAGTTCTTTACCTGTGGTGCTGCCTATGTGGTTGCTGGAATTATTTTTAACTCACTCTTATCCACCTTCCCCAAAACCTCAGAAGGATGCTCTTAGCACCTAAGTTGTCCCCTCACCTCTGGTTGCTGTTACCTTCTCACTCTGGTTTTCTACAAGTGTGTATTTCATGACTTTGAGCTGCCGGAGCTCAGCCTGAAGTTGTAGCTGTGCCTTCAAGAGCTCGTTCTGCTCATCCTGGCTAGTATCATATTTTTTCTGCAGGGTACAGAGTCTGGACTTCAGCTCCTCGTTCTGTGGTAGGGAGGATGTGAGTAGAACAGTTACTCTCAAGAAACAGCAGATCTTTCTATGGATCAGTTGGGTTCCTTTTCAGATGCAGATATCTTGAGGAGCTCCCACAGGTCTAAGGTTTGGTTTCTTCTGTGAGACGGACACTCAGTAATGACCACCATTTCTAGAATGCAGTGCTATATGACTGTTACAGTTGGTTTCCCGCAGACTGTGCCCAGTTGCAGGGCAAGAGTCAGCAAAGCACAGCCGTACTCACTGTGCCTACCCCCATTGAAGCAGCCCCTCCATGAGGCCCTTCTGCGCCCATCCCAGATGCCTCCCCGGGAAGTGTTTACCTGGGTGACACTGTGGGAGGTCTGGAACCGAAGCACCTCATTCTGAGCACACTTGAGCTCCCTCTGCAGCCGTCTCTGCTCCTCCTCACTGACCTGGCGATGATGCTGTAGCTCTTGCAACTCACAGCACAACTCCTGACACTATGCGGGAAATGGAACAGGGAGGCTTGTTTACTACAGGTACCACATGTGCTCCCAGAACAGCACATGTTCATTGTGGAAAGCATGGCATTCTTTGACTGGAAGATTTACATCAGGCAAGTAAGACCCCAGAGTACTATCTCCCACCACAGTGCATGCCTATGGAGATGTTTCTACCATAGGCTGGGAGAAGGTGAAAGAAAGACATTGAAAGGCTGGCTTTTCCCACCCTCTGTACCCTACCTTGTTCTTCATGTCATGCATCTGCTCTTCAGCATCCCATAACTGCTGCCGTAACAACTGCATTTCAGGATCAGGCTCTAGGAAATCCATTTCTGAAGTCTGAGACTCTACTGACGTCATGCTCCTTAGTGTTTGGGACTCCAGCCATCTCTCTGTTGCTCTTTGTGTCCTGCAATCCAGAACCCCAGAGCGATGCTGGGAGGCAGTTTTCCCTGGCATCACCAGCCACGCATGCCTGGTCCTGATGCCTTCATTTTAGGCCAAAGATAGTAAGGGGACTTCTATTGTGATTCACTGCTCACATGAACAGAAAAAGTCTCCAGCACCTCAATCTGCAAAGGTGTGTTTGGCTCTGGGAGACCCTAAGAGTGCCAGGCCATTTAGTTTTGAGGCTGGGCCTCGTCAAGCCCACTCCAATCTGGAAGTGTTGTGCCTGCCATTAGACTGAAGCAAGTCTATGCAGACAATAAAAGAATCTCTTCTGATCTACTTTAGGGCAGAGCAAACCAGATCCCAAAGCCTAAAACAGAACTGAACTTCAGAACTCACTCCCTCTAGTCTTGAGACAATTGGGTCGGATCCCCATGTCTGCTTGTACGTGGTATCTGTGTCCTCTAGAAACCATGGAAAGGACTGGCTCTCCAGGAGCAGAGGAATGCTCACTGCCCTGGCATCTGCCTTCAGGGGAAAGCCTAAGGCAAGGCAGAGTCCTGCAGAACCCCATAACCTCTCACTCTCCAGAGACAGCTGTACCTCTCGCTCTCCAGATCTGCAAGCTGCCCCGTGAGGCTGCTGTTGCTCGCCTGCAGGGCCTGGTACTCCTCATTCAGGAAATGGTAGCGTTCCCGCAGCTGCTGAAGTTCTTCTGCAGAGGACAAGCAGAGAAAGATGAGACCCTCAGGAGGAAAGTACTGATGACCAGCCCCCAGTTTTCCTGTCTTGAAACATGAGAGCAGAAGGCTAAAGAGCTTCTCTTTTTCTGAAGACAGAAAAGAGATACAGAGGCTTAGAAGACAGGGCCCAGGAAATTCCACAGTGCAGTGGGTCTTTCTCCTCTTCCCGATAGCTGTCCTTCTTTTCATCTGCCCTGATGATTTGCCCTGTGTGCTCATCTTCAAAGCCTCAATCAAAGCAGACTCTTGAGCTTTTGGGAATTTTTGAAGGTTTAATTAAGTTTTGGGTTTACTGTATGTAAAGTTTCCATTCAACTGTTTATGATTATCTTCCAATTAGGCTTTTAGTACAAAAAGCTGAGAGATGTGAACTGTCACATGTGACTGCCAGTACCTGCCTTTCAGGCATTCTGCGTTTACTTTTATGTCCTTTATTTCCACACCAAATACACTGGTCTGGATGTGGTAAAGAACTCTTGCCAGCCGCAGTGGCTCACACCTGTAATCCCAGCACTTTGGGAGGCTGAGGTGGGCAGATCACTTGAAGTCAGGAGTTCGAGACCAGCCTGGCCAACATGGCAAAACCCCATCTCTCTACTAACTACAAAAAGTAGCCAGGCATGGTGGTGGGTGCCTGTAGTCCCAGCTACTCGGGAGGCTGAGGTAGAAGAATCACTTGAACCCGGGAGGCGGAGGTTACAGTGAGCCAAGACTGCACCACTGCACTCCAGCCTGGGCAACAGAGTGAGATTCTGTCTCAAAAAAATTAAAAATGAAAAAAAGAATTCTTTCTAAATGGCATTTTATCCGCTGACAGAAAAGCCCATCCTCATCCTCAAGCATTAGAAGAGATCCAGTTGACATACCCCAGCACATGTCTCTAAGCACCAGTCACCTATACCTATACTTTTTGTTTTTTGGTTTGGTTTTGTTTTGAGATAGTCTCACTCTGTCATCCAGGCTGGAGTGCAGTGGCACAGTCATGGCTCACTGCAGCCTTGACTTGCCTGGCCTCAGGTGACCCTCCTACCTCAGCTTCCCCGAGTACCTACGACTATAGTGCACACTGCCAAGCCTGGCTAATTTTTGAATTTTTCTGTAGAGATGGGGTTTTGCCATATTGCCCAGACTGGTCTCAAATTCCTGGACTCAAGTGATCCACCTGCCTTGGCCTCCCAAAGTGCCGGGAGTACAGGCAGGAGCCACCATGCCCACTCACCAATACTTTTTAAGGCTGTGATGATACAAACACCTGTATCTGTTTTGTTTCTTCCTGATTAAGAATTGTGTTGGCCAGGTGCAGTGGCTTACACCTGTGATCCCAACATTTTGGAAGGCCAAGGTAGGAAGATCATTAGAGCCCAGGAGTTCGAGACCAGCCTGGGAAACAGAGCGAGACTCTGTGTCCAATTGCAAAAAATTAAAAAAGAATTATGTCTCTTAGAATGCTAATTCTACTGATATTTAAAGAGCACTAACTTGCTCTAAGTAGAATATACGACCTATCTTACCTGCTGGAAGATTCAATACCCTAAAAGTGACTTCTAATGTTTCCTATTAATTCTAATCAGAATTCCTTAGAATACTACAGATTACCATAGAGGGAAGGAAGGAAACTAATCTTTAATGAAAGCTAACCATGCACTAAGCATTAGACTTGATAGTTTCAGCCTCGGATTCAATAAGTGTGCAAGTGATTTCAACATGCTTCACATTTCATTTAATTCCCACAATAGCTCTGTGAGTTTTCTTTTTCTTTAAATAAACTTTAAATTTTAGAATAGTTTTAGATTTACAAAAAATTTGTAAAGATAGTACAGAGTTTCCTGGGAGAGTTCTCACCCAGTTTCCCTAATTGTTAACATCTTACCTTACTATGGTATACCTGTCATGTCTAAGGAATCAAATATTGATACATTACTATTAACTAAACTCCATATTTGACTTAGATTTCTTTACATTTTCCCTAAGGTCCTTTTCCTGTTTCAGGATCCCCTCTAGCTATAAGGTTTTATTGGCCGGGTGCAGTGGCTCACGTCTATAATCCCAGCTCTTAGGGAGGCAGAGGCAGGAGGACAGCTTGAGTCCAAGAGTTTGAGACCTGCCTGGGCAATATAGCAAGACCCCATTCTCCACAAAAAGGAAAAAGAAAAAAAGGTTTTATTAACCAATTTTGATTTCACATCCCAGATATAGAAGCAGGCTCAGAGAAAGACCATAACCAGACTACCTACGTTCATCCTGCTAATTAGTGGAACTGAGATTCTGAACTCAGGTCTGTTTGACTCCAGCCCAAGCCTTCCCACTGTGCCAGCCTTCCTCTCCCAGCACCATTTAATCTAAAGGCTCTTCTGAGAGGTTTGGTACAGCTGGACAAACTTGAAGTTCTTTGATTCCTTGTTGATTGCCTCTGCTTGACCTGGCCAAATATAGGACCTCCATTATACTCAGATCATAAATCTAGCCTCAGAATAAAGGCAAACTCTCTGATGTCATGAATCCTAGCAACTAACTGGGAGACTCACTGTCTGAAAGCAGGGCTCTAGGCTTTTAGGTGTCTCATGTATCACTAGCAATAACTTTTCTTCTCTAGCTGTCTTGTGATCTGATTTGTTGCCACCCTAAGGCTTCTATTTTGGGGAGAGCTAAAGGAGCCTAAGAATTAGTATCCCTGTACCTGGAAGCAGGGCCAGAGGCCCCCCACAAAGCAGTCCAGGCAAAGCACCATGATGCCAGGGTAGCAGGAAGAGTTTCCCAAGGTGACAGGTCCCTCTTTGCCCATTCTAGAGCTGGAAATTTTCCCAGGAAGGGGTTTCCCATAGTCAAATCAACAAAGACTCAATGACTCTGAAGAATTTCCAGGGTACTTCTCCATGGTGCTATTTCTTACACCACCACAGACCAGTTATGTAACATCTGGGTAGGTTTTCCCCCCTTTATTTAAAATTTTCTTTTAGAAAGAGATAGAAAAGGCAACTCACTTGGTTACCCAGGCTTGTTATGAATGCCTGGGCTCCAGTGATCCTCCCATCTTGGCCTCCTAAAGTTCTAGGATTACAGGCATGAGCCACCATGCCTGGCCCCCTTACAGTCTTGAATTCAACCTGGAGGTTTTTATTGTTTTGTTTGTTTGTTTGTGAGACAGAGTCTCGCTCTGTTGCCAGGCTGGAGTTCAGTGGCGTGATCTTGGCTCACTGCAACCTCTGCCTCCCGGGTTCAAGCAAGTCTCCTGCTTCAGCCTCCCAAGTAGCTGGGACTACAGATGCATGCCACTATGCCCAGCTAATTTTTTGTATTTTTAGCAGAGATGGGGTTTCACCATGTTAGCCAGGATGGTCTCAATCTCCTGACCTTGTGATCCACCTGCCTCAGCCTCCCAAAGTGCTGGGATTACAGGTGTGAGCCACCACCCCTGGCCAAACCTGGAGGTTTTTTCTAGAGTTTCCCAATTTATGATCTAACACCACCTTTATACCATTTTTCTACATATTTTCTTCTTTCCTCTGCTTGACTTTACTGAATGACTTGACTGCTCTCATACCTTGCAACCCAGAGAAATCAGAGAGACTTAAACTATTGGATGTTTCAGAGCTCTTCATTTCCATCTCTGCACGAAGGGAAGCAATCTCCATCTCGTAATCTCCCCGAATGCGTTCCATGTCTTCAAGTTCATTCTGCAGCCGGCAGAGATCCTCCTGCAGGGACGCTATGTCACTCTCATGTTCAGTTGCAGAATCCTCCGCTGCTTGCCGCAAATTCTGGATCTCAGCCTGGGCCAAATGTAGTTCCTGTTCTATTTCCTTAAGTTCACTTTCTTTCTCATGCTCTAACAGGGAAATCTCCTCCCGCAGAGAACGCAGCTCACCTGCAAAGCCCAAAGGTTGAGATGGTCAAGAGGGCAGGTGAACGAATATACCATATTCTAGAGGTATGAAATTAAAAGGAGACATTTCTTGTCTGCAAAGTCCTGAAAACCTTGTCTCTACCCCATCAGAGAAGTATAGCATCATGCCGGATGGAATAAAAGGAGTACCTAAGAAGGGAAAAAGAGAGTGATTCTATGTAGTAATTAAGGTCCAATAGAAAAGTAGATTTTGAGGCCTGGCACCAAAAGCAATCACTTAGTCTACTGTAAACAAAAAGTATTACGTGCTTCTCAGGAATCACCTGACAGTTAAAGACCTAACTTTATAGTATTTTCTTGATGCCCCGAATCTTTCTAAAAATTCCCCGACTCAAAAAATGTATAAAAGTCAGGCGTGGTGACTCACGCCTGTAATCCCAGCACTTTGGGAGGCTGAGACAGACAGGTGGATCACCTGAAGTCAGGAGTTCGTCACCAGCCTGGCCAACATGGCAAAACCTAAAAATACAAAAATTAGCCAGGCGTGGTGGCGGGCACCTATAATCCCAGCTACTCAGGAGTCTGAGGCAGGGAGAATCACTTAAACCTGGGAGGTGGAGGTTGCAATGAGCCGAGATCACGCCATTGCACTCCAGCCTGGGTGACAGAGCAAGAGACTGTCTCAAAAACAAAAAAATGTCTACACACTATTTTCACCTATTCAGCCTGAGAGCTCAGAAATTACAGAGCCTCAGAGTTCCCATGACCTACCTGTGGTAAGTACTGGACCCAAAACAATGTGCACTTAAGAGTTCACAACTGAAATTCATATATAAGTTAACTGCATAATAACCAAACACAAAATAATAATCTAAGTGTCAGTCGACAAGGGACTGTTTAAACTGATGACAGTTAAGCTAGGTGTGGTGGTTCATGCCTATAATCCCAGCATTTTGGGAGGCCAAGGTGGGTGGATCACTTGAGGTCAGGAGTTCAAGACCAGCCTGGCCAACATGCTGAAACCCAGTCTCTACTAAAAATACAAAACAACAACAACAACAACAAATTAGCCAGGCATGGTGGTGTGCTCCTGTAACCCTGGCTACTTGGGAGGCTGAGATAGGAGAATTGTTTGAACCCAGGAGGCAGAGGTTGCTGTGAGCCGAGATCATGCCACTGTACTCCAGCCTGGGCAACACAGTCTCAAATGAATAAATAAATAAATAAAGACATGAACAAACTGATGATAGTTAAACAGAATATTGTACCGCCATTTAAAAGAAAGTATTAGACCTATGGTGAAAACAAAGACATTTCCATATTAACTAAAGAAAAAGAGCTGTAAAATATATGATCTAATTTTTGTAAAAAATATTTTATGTATAGTGTATAACACACAAATGGACAAACACATAGAAAAAGGCCTGGAAAGATCTATGTCCAAACCATAATGGGTAGCTGTTTCTGAGGTATGAGATAATATGTGATGAGGTTTTTACTTTACATGTCATATCTATCTGTGCTGTTTGGATTTTCAGAACAAGCCTATATTTTCTCATTTTTCATTTACAAAATAATGGGTCAAGAGTTCTCTGTATCTATGGAGCATCTCAGAGTTTCTAGACACATGTTCCCATCTGGGATCAGAACCAAAAAGTGAAAAGTAAAAGGCACTGATACCAACAGTGAATTTAGGATTTGAGGGCCAGAATTAGAGAATTAATGAAGATTGGGTTGGGAAGGTCAGGACCTTCCCATAAATCCTTTGCAAGGCACATTCTCCCATCCCCTTCCCCCAACTCCTGTTCACTCTACTCAACACGCAGATGTCAATTTTTCTAGCCTGTACCTCCATTTCCTCAAAAAAATTAAGAGAAGTCCACTATTAAATGGTCTCATAGAACCTTGTACTTTGCTATGTGTGTGCACATAGTCTCCCCTTCACTTGGTTGTGAGCTTTATGAAGGCAGACAGCATATCTGGTGTGCTCACCATTACAGCTCTAGGATCTAGTATTGTGCCTGAAAATGAAGCTCAATAGATATTTGATGTATTCATGCATAAATAAGGCAAGTGGTTCATCCATTCAACAAACTTTAAGTCTCTCCTATGTGTACAGAACTAAACATTTGGGGTTTGGGGGTTTTTGTTTTTGAGATACAGTCTTGTTCTGTGGCCCAGGCTCAAGTGGAGTGGCATGATCATGGCTCACTGCAGTCTTGACCTCAAGGGCTCAAGCAATCCTCCCACCTCAGCGTCCCTCATATCTGGGACTATAGGCATGGGCCACTATGCCCCGCTATTTCCTTTTCTTTTTCTTTTTTTTAAAATGTAGAGACAGGGGTCTCTTCCTGTTGCCCAGGCTGGTCTCAAACTCCTGGGCTCAGGTGATTCTCCCATCTTGGCTTCCCAAAATGCTGGGATTACAGGTATGAGCCACCACACCTAGCCCTGTTTTTTTTTTTTTTTTCTTTTTCTTTTTTTTTTTTTTAATTAGAAGAGAATCTAGACTTTCAAAGACAAATTTGGACACACTTCATAGATAGATGCTGAGTGCTGAGGGTATCTCAAGGGAAGATCTACCCTGCTCCCCTGAGCTCTCATGTGCAGCTATGGGCATGTCTTTTGCCAATCTTTCCCGTTCTTGAATGATCCTAGCTGTTATGTCTCCTTGATCTATTCAGCAACTATTAGCTGATCCTTAACTGTATGCCAAGCCCAAGCATCTCCGGTTAGATTCTCTGACTTCCTATTTGAAAGAAGAGTCCGCTCTACCCCCACTACTGAACAACAGCACAGTGAGATCCGTCTAGTTAGGGAGACCCACAAAGAAAGTGGCCAATAGGATAAAGGCCTTAGAGTCTGGGGCGGGAGTTCTGGAGAAACAGACTAACATCCATTTCCCTAATATGCTTTTGATGTTACAGTTCAGCTCTCCTTTTGATGTTAGGTGCTTCCGGCCCTAAAAAATGGCATTCTCGGCTTAGCACAATGGCTCACGCCTTTAATCCCAGTACTTTGGGAGGCTGAGGCGGGTGGATCACTTGAGGTCCAGAGTTCAAGATCAGCTTGGCCAACATGTGGAAACCCCATCTCTACTAAATATACAAAAATCAGCTGGGTGTGGTGGCCTGCGCCTGTAATCCCAGCTACTCGGGAGGCTGAGGCAGGAGAATCGCTTGAACCCAGGATGTGGAGGTTGCAGTGAGACAAGATCGCGCCATTGCACTCAAGCCTGGGCGACAGAGCGAAACTCCTTATCAAAAAAAAAGGCTTTCTCAGGGGAAACCGAAGAGGGTGCAGGGTCACCTAGAGTCGCCCGGGCAGGACCCGAGGCCTGGGGGCAGGGCTTATCTGGGAGCGCCCGGGAGTCGAAGAGGCCGGGCGCGGTTCCCCAGATTCTGAGGCGGTGGCGCCCGTTGAGTGTGGGGCTGGGACCGTCGGTGCGAGGTCTAGGGCCTGGGAGTCGGGGCTGCAGGCCGAGAAGTGGTTTCTCACTCACTGGTTATGGCTTCCATCTTGCCGGCCCCACTCGAGCGGTGTCCCTGGGGGGCTACCCCGCCGCCGCCGGCCGGTCCCGGCCCCAGAGGGGCTGTGGCGGCCGGAACCGCCTCCGAACCGCGGCTGCCTTTGAGGCCGCGCGCGCCCCCTCCAGGCGGAAACGGGCGACGCGCGTGCGCGAGAGCAGCCTCGGTCTCCCCCGCAGGGACCGTGGGGCAGCTCACCCTGGAAAAGTACCCTACTCAGAAAGGAGGCACTCTAGAACCCCATTTTCCTGGGGAGTTTCTGCCTGCATCTCTGCTTCCATTCTGACTTTCCGCCCTTTGCATGGAGGAACGTCCCTTCTCCAGGCAAAGGCCTTTTTTTTGTGTGTGCTGGATCTTTTCTTTCATTATACACGATCTAGCATTTCCTATTTTGAAAAAAAAAGAAAGAAAAGACTCTTTTGACCGTATATCCCTTACTTCTCTGCTTCTCTTCAAAATGACTACTGGAGTTATCGGTACTCACCTTTTCCATTTCATCTCCCATGTCGTCTCCAAACCCATGCACTGAAATGTCTCAGGGTCATCCATCTTGGCAAATCCAAGAGCATCTCGCTTGACTTAGCAACCTGACACAGTGGATCATCACCTCCTTGAAGCACTTTCTGCCCTGGCTTCCAGGGCATGACATGCTCCAGGAGTTCCTCCTACTTTGCTCTTTTGTTCATTTCTCCTTCCATACTGGACCTCTCAATACTGGAGCGTCTCTGGGACTGGACTCTTTCAACTCTTCTGGTGTCTCTCCATGTGACTGCACCATGCTTCCCGTGGTTTCTAATGCCAATTATATGCTAATGAGTCCAAATTTAAATCTCCGGCCCTGTTTTCTCCCTGGTTCTGGCTTAATATAGCTAACTGCCTCAATATATTCACTTGGATGTCCATAGTCACTTTAAACTTACCAGGGGGAGAAAACGTGTCTTAAAAGGCTCCCCTAGTCCCCAAACTTACTCCTCGCCAAGTCTTTCCCAATTCAATAAACCTTACCAACCTTCCATCAATTTTTTCAAGGCAAAGTCATCTTTCATGTCTCTGTCATCCCCTGATCCAATTCATTAGCAAATCCTGAGGGTTTCACTTTCAAAATATATTCTGAATCATCTCCATTTCTACATCCGTAACTCAAGCAACCATCATTTCTTGACTGGATTATTACAGCAACTTGCTAACACGACTCACTGTTCTGAGTCCCTTCCCTCCATCCTAAGTGTTTCACTTAGTGGCCAAGTTCTCTTAAAAATGTAAAGCAGATCCTATTAACCCAGTCCTGGCTAAGACCCTCTCCTGGCTTTCCACCACACTTAAGATGAAAGCCAAACCTCTTGGCTGGCCTACAAGATTCATTGTTATCTGGCCTCTGCCTGCCTTGGAATGTTTCTTACCAGGGTCCTCCACATGTACTTTGCTGCAACCACAGTGGCCTCTGTTCTGCCCCTCAAACAAATGAAGCTCATTCTCATCTCTGGGCCTTTGCTGTTGCTGTTGCTTCTGCCTGGTATGCTTCTCCCTCAGATCTTAGATAGCTGGATCCTTTTCATTATTCAGGTCTTAGCTCAAATGTCATCTTCTCAAAGATGACTTTCCTAACTGCCATATCTAAAATAAACTCCCTTCAAGACCAGCCTGGCCAACATGGTGCAATCCCATCTTTACTAAAAATACAATAATTAGCTGGGTGTGGTAGCACATGCCTGTAATCTCAGCTACTCGGGAGGCTGAGGCAATCTCAGCTACTCGGGAGGCTGAGGCAAGAGAATTGCTTGAACCAGGGAAGTGGAGGTTGCAGTGAGCCAAGATTGTGCCATTACACTCCAGCCTGGGCAACAGAGTGAGACTCTGTCTCAAAATAAAATAAAATTAACTCCCATCCCATCTCCTCTCTATATCATATTATTATAATGTGTTGATAGTATTGATTGCCACCTGAACTTGTGTTGTTTATTTTCTGCCTCTCTCCATTAGAATGTACTCTTCAGTAGGGCAGGGATGTGGTCTGTGTCATTCATAGCTGGTCCTCCAAGTATAAAGGCACCCCATAAATATGTGAAAAATAAATTAGTCCCATTTTACAGATAAGAAATGACATCTCAGAAAGACAAGTGACTTGCCCAGGATCACACAATTTGTGAGTGGTAGAGCCGGGTCCAGGAAGCTAGGTGATCCCAGACCCATGCCCAGTCTTCCCTGTGTGACACTTTGCTCCTCTGCACGCTCCTTCACTGTCCGCCCTTCCTGTATCTACCTTTGCTCACATTTTCTGTCCCCTTCTCATCTCCTCCCGCTCTTACACCTCTGCTTGCTCCTGCCCAGGCCATTTCCCGGCCTTCCTTTTTTCTCCATTTATACTTTTCTTTTGGCTTGATCTCAGCTCTCCCCAGAGTCCCTGCCGTTTTCTAGGCCAGCTCCCCTAAACCTTCCGGAAGCCCACAGAAGTAACAAAAGCTGCCTCTTTATTTGGTGGTGCAGTGGAATGTGGGACACTTGCCTTGCTGCTTCCCAGAGACAAAGGGATGTGGGTGTTGGAAAAAAGGGACTTGGGGGCCACAAGCTCAGGTCCCAGAGAGCAAGAGAAGTGCTCTCATCTGCCTCCCTTAACAGGTGCAGAGAGGCCCCGCCAGCCACATGACGCCATGAAGTGGCTAGCGTCATGATCTTTCCCATGCTGTCCTTGGAGGAACCGGAAAAAGGAATCTGCCTTGGAATTCAACTTGGATCACCCACCCCTGGCACTGACCAGGAGAACAAAGGGACAAGGATACAGTATGAAGGAGGGGCTGCAGGAACAAGAGGAAAGAGCCCACCAGAAACAGAAGGTGATGGGGAGGCCAAGAAAGGCAAGGGGAGGACAGAGGAGCCAGGTGGAGGTACAAAGAAAGAAAACTGGGGACAGAGGAGGATGGAGAGACAAGGAGAGGAAAAGGGTGAGCGTAGTAGAGGAAAATGAGGTAGATTACTGAATCTGGTTATGTTTATCTGCTCTGCTTCAGTCAACCCCTCAGGAAAAAAGTACTTAAGTGACCGCTTGCATGGCAGTCTCCCTCTGGTCCAAATCCTGGGAATTACCTTGGAGCTGCTGGATCTGCTTGGTGAACACCTCTGCCTGCTGGGCGCTGGCCAGCCGTTCATCCTCCAGGAGCCCTGTAGGGGGAGGGGCACCAGTGTCAGGCTCAGATCCAGGGAAGCATAGAGCCTCTGGGCCCGGGCACTCACCCTGTAGCTCCAGTGAGTCGTCCTCATGCTGCCCTGCCAGTTCCCGGGTCTCTTCCAGTTCTGCCACCAGCTGTAGCACCTGAGCCCGCAGCTCCTCCAGCTCTGTCTCCGTGAGGCTCAGGCCCCGGTGCTTGTTGACTGACAGGGAGCCAACACTGCCACCTTTCTGCACTTGTTCTTCTTCTTCTTCCACCTCTTCTTCTTCCTCTTCCTCTTCTTCCTCATAGAGAGCTGGGAGTAACACCTCCCCTAAGAGAGACAACCATCCCAGCAGGGAGTCAGCACCAACTTCCTTTCCACAGTCCCTCTGGAGCCCTCAAACTCATTATCCCAGGGCAGAGATGATATATAGTGCCACCTTGTGTTCCCCAAGGAGCCCCTGGTCAAGACCTGTACTCAAGATGAGTCATCAGGTGTGAGGGTCAAGTTGAGAGGCAGCCCCTCCCCTCCCAGGCCTTTCCTGGACCAATGTTCACTTGATAGCCTCCTACCACTGCCTGTGGGCAGGCTGGTGCCTGCTCAGCCATGATACACTTGCACAGGATTATCTGCTTCTAGGCTACCCTCTGAGTGGTGGAACAAGTAGTCAAGAAAGGAGACAGTGAGCGGATCTTTAGGTCAAATGAGGTAACAGTTGCAGTTTGGAGATTTCTAGAAAAAAAAAAAAAAAAAAAAAAAAAAAAAAAACTCGCCAGGCGCTGTGGCTCATGCCTGTAATCCTAGCACCTTGGGAGGCTGAGGCAGTTGGATCACTTGAGGTCAGAAGTTCCAAACCAGCCTAGCCAACATGGTGAAACCTCGTCTCTACTAAAAACACAAAAAATTAGCTGGGCGTGGTGGTGGGTGCCTGTAATCCCAGTTACTTGGGAGGCTGAGGCAGGAGAATTGCTTGAACCTGGAAAGTGGAGGTGGAGGTTGCAGTGAGGCAAGATCAGCCACTGCACTCCAGCGTGGGCAACAGAGTGAGACTCTGTCTCAAAAAAAAAAAAAAAAATATCCAGGTGGCCTGTGGAAAATCAGCCTTTGCATAATAAGAAAGCATTGCCCATTGGCAGGTAGAGAAAGAAAATATCTGATTGTAGAGGTTTCATTGGACAAACTCTGGAGCCCTTTCAAATCATCAAATACCTGTTTGAAATTTTCTACAAGGTCCACCTTGTTTTTCCCTGTTGGTTGTCACAGGTCTCCTCTCCCCTAGCTGAGCCATAGGAGGCCCCTCCTGCTCTGCTGACCACAAAGCAGTTTTCAGGGGAAGCCTTAGACTGTACCTGTGCGTAAAAGAAATTCTGCCATTTTAATGCATTAAAAAACTGGGGTTTGGTGCTGGCCCCCAGCCTCTGGTTGCGAGCACCCCCTCCTTTACGGCAATGCAGTTTCCTATAAATAGCAAAATGTTGTCTGAATGGTGATTGTTTGCTTTGTTTTAAAATTCTGAATCTCTGGTCTTATTTTCTCTAATATCAGCAGCCTTAGGTTCATCTGGGACCCTTCATGCCATCTGTCCTCCTTCAGGGGAGCAGGTTTGCCTATACTGAATGTGCAACGTGCCACACTTCACAGGAAGTCCTGGAAAATGGACCAGTGTCCTTCCAGGGGCCTGGTGTTGGCAGCAACTGCCAAGTCACATGGGTGTGGTGGGGACACACGTGTGTTGGGAGGATGGCCTCACTCGCCCCCTCCTAGGCTCTCTCTTTCAGGCAGTAAGGTATCCTAGAGAACCAAAGCCACAGGCTTCCATTCGAAGTTAATGGTGGTGGCCCCAGAAAGACAATTCACATGTCCACTTCCTTGCTTTCTGAAAGAAGAGACAGCTTGGGATCTGGGTCGGCAGGCAGTGAGAACAAACCTCCTGCTGAAAGGCTGCTTCAAAGCTCTGTCCAACAAGGCCTCTTTCTCTGGCAGCTCCCTCGGGACACACAACCTGGTTAGCTGGGTGACTGGGGTCCCGAAGGGGTGCACCCTGAACTTCTGTCAAAGTCTGAGCCCTGGGAAGGGCTGGAGCTCTGAGTTGCAGGAGGAGGGGCTGAGATGAACTGAAGGTAGGGCTGTGTCCTGGCTCAGAGGCCTGAGGGTCAAAAGGAAGAGGGAAGGGAACTAAGGGAGGAGGTGAAGGGGAAGAAAGAAGCCTTTTGGGAAAACTCACCCTCCATAGCTTGCATCCCCCGTCGTTCCAGGGACCCCCAGCGTTGGCCCTTCTTCCTCTCACAGCCCTCGGAAGCCTCATAGGAGCCTAGAGTGGTCACTGTGGGTCCTGAGAGCAGGGAGAAAGGAGGGGCTGAGGGCTGGGGTGCAGAGGAAAGAGGGAGGCATGGCTTCCAGCCCCTCGGGGCCCTGGGATCTGGAATCCCAGTGGAGGTGCCTGACTCACTCTGCCGGCTCTACGACTCCCCTCTCTCGGCTACGTCTCAAGCTCTGCCTGCGGGGACCCCAGCCCTGCCGCGCAACCTCCTCAGACGCCCCTGTTCCAGGACCCCCTTGCTTACACAGACAGAAAGAGGGGGTGTGTGTATTTAGCCCCGGGGGACAGGGAGGAGAGAGGAAAGACTGAAAGAGGGTGGGAGCCAGTGAAAAGAGGCTGAAACGGTGAGGCGGCCTACCGAGAGAGGGAGAGAGGGAGAGAGGGAGGGAGGGAGGGAGAGAGGGAGGGAGGGAGGGAGAGACGGAGAGAGGGAGTGAGGGAGAGAGGAGTGGGGGGCGTGCGGGAAGGGATAGGGCTGCGGCCGCTCCCCTCCCCTTCCTTCCCATTCCCTCCCTGGACCTCGCCCACCCCACCCTCGCCCCGCGCTCTGGAGCCTCCGGGGCTACAGAGGGTGCGCGGTCTGGAGCCCCGAGTGCTGGAAGCACCGTCGGGCTGGAGTGGAGAGATGAGCTGGGGAGGGACCACCAGACAGGATGCGGCCGGTGCGCGGAAGCCCCAGCCCCAGGCCGGAAAGATGGAGACCGGGCCCAAGTGGAGGCCAGGATGGAGGGAGGAAGACTTCGGGCGGAGAAGAGGGAGCCGCGGAATCCGGGAGCACCTGGGGGTCTGGAGGGAGGAGGGATGGAGGAGAGAAAGGAGGGGCGGTGGAGAGGTGAGGGAGGGGCGGCTCTGACCTGGGCCCTGGCAGCTCCAGCCCGCGGCTCCTGCGCTGGTTCCGGCGCCCGCCTCCATGACCGCTCCCGGCGCCGCCGCCGCCGCTTGCCGTAGCAGAAGCCGCAGCCGCGAGCCCGGGGACCGGGAGCCGGGTGCGCAGGGAGGAGGGAGGACGGGCGAGGGGGCGGGGCCTGGCCGGACCTCCTGACGCCGCCCCCCGCTGCCCGCCGCCGCCCGGAAGCCCTCCCAGCACCCGGGAGCTCCGAGTGGGTGCAGGGGCGGCGCGGGAGGGTGAGCGCGACCCCAGATACCTCCCAAGGCTTTCCCCGAGGGAGCGCCGGGGGCCGCCGGGCTCGGACAGCGTCGGGAGCTCTTAGGTTTCGGGCTGTCCCAAGAGGGAAGGGTGAGATCCCCTGGTTCTGGCGGCGGGTCCCGCGGGGTCTGCTGTGCGCGGGGACCTTCCGCACCAGGTGTCAGGGCCCGGTCATGCTCAGCAATGGGGACGGCAAAGGGCGAGGTGGGACTGTTTCCTCCAGATGCGCGGACACGCGCGCCCCTCCCTCCCTCACCCGACCGGTGCCCCCACCTAGCAGTCCGCGCGGACCCCGGCCTCAGGTCCCGCCCAGCCCCGCCCGGGGGCCCCTCGGCAGCTTGGGGGCCGGGGAGGGAAGTCGAGGCCCGGATGGGCTAACGCAGGGCCCTGACCTCTCCGCTTTCCGCGCACCCTCCTCCCCCCAGCCAGGGCCAGAGACCACCTTAGGAGGGGCCCTCCGGTGGCCCCACCAAGCGTCAGGGCCCGAAGACCCCTCTCCTCCGTCCTGCCTTCCCTTCCGGTCCCACACCCTGTGGGCTGCAAGCCACGCCCCCACTGTCGCCCGCTCGGAGTGGGTACGACTGATGGTCACTCTCTGGAAGGGAGATTTGGAAGCCCAAGGGGCTTATTTCACGTCTTCAACCATTGGTTTATTCAAGGAATGCCTGCAGGGTGGGTGCCGGCTCTCGAAGAGGCAGCTCTCACATTCTGGCAGGTCTCGGCAAGGATCGCAGTGGGTACGGTTGGGAACAGGGGCTCCCCAGAACATCCAGGAAACGTCTGGGAGATTCCTAAGCCAGGGACACACGCGCATCCCCTCTCTTGCACATCCACTCCCAGGTCGAGGGCTAGGATTGCCTGCGTTCCTCCCGCTTTCAGAAAGGTGTCCGGATCCAGACAGAGAGAGAGGGTTCTTGGATCTCGCGCAAGAAAGAATTTAGGGCGAGTCTATAGCATAAAGTGAAAGCAAGTTTATTAGGAAAGTAAAATAATAAAGAATGGTGGGATGCAGGTTGCCCATTTTTATAGTTATGTCTTGATGATATGCTAAACAATGAGTGGACTATTCATGACTCCCCCTTTTAGACAATGTAGGGTAACTTTCTGATGTTGCCATGGCATTTGTAAACTGTCGTGGCGCAGGTAGGAGTGTGGCAGTGAGGACGACCAGAGGTCACTCTCATCGCCATCTTGGTTCTAGTGGGCTTTGGCCGGCTTCCTTACTGCAAGCTGTTTTATTAGCAAGGTCTTTATGACCTGTGTCTTGTGCTGACCTCCTGTCTCATCCTGTGACTTAGAACTCCTTAAACGTCTGGGAATGCAGTCCAGTAGGTCTCAGACTCATTTTACCCAGCTCCTATTCAAGATGGAGTTGCTGTGGTTCAAATGCCTCTGACACCCCACAGGCTTCCACATCCACAAGCCATCCTTGTTCCGCGGGAAGGAAGTCCTTTTTTGTCTGGACTCCCCTCCTTTCCTTCAGCTCTAAGCTGAGGGTCACCTCCAGGTGGCCTTCCCTGACTGGTACCCCATCCCTGCCCTGCTGGGATGCCCCTGTGGTGCTGGCCCCTATCTGTCTCCCTGTGACAGCACCAGGCCCTTGAGGTTGTCCGTGCTCTGCTCAGTTTCTTGAAGGTTAGGGGGATCTTAGTTATCTTTGTATCTCCAGCATCTGACCAAGTTTCTGACACAGAATAAATGAGTTAAAGGTCTATCTCCCAGCTACCCGGTTAATGCACTGTCTTATCATTTAAAATGATTTCATATTTGTGGCGTTAATGTTCCCTATTAATGATCATGTTGCCTATAAGCCTCTCTCCCTCCCCACCCCACCCCTCCTTGCTCCATTTTTCTTCCACTGTCTCTCTCATTATCCCAACGGAAAGATGATGAGCAGAGATCGAGGATGTTTCCTTTGCTTTCCAGAGGAGAGGATTCTACCCCAGATCCTGTGGCCAAGGTGACTCAGTTGTGGGGAAAGTTGAACACACCCACCCAGACCCCTTCTGCAGATGCTTTACTGTGCAGATTTGGGGACCAGAGCATTTCTCAGGGATGGGAGAAAGCGGCTGCACTGGGGGCTTGGGAGGTGCAGAGCACTGGAAACTGACAGAGACTAGTTCTGGAAGCTCACTCGCTGTTCCTTCTGTGCAGAGCAGCTCCTGGTTCTGCCTCAGCCAGCAGGGTCAGGTTAGCAGTTGGCCTTGACTGCTGACCTCTTGGTGAATGGAGGGAGGCACAGCAGGGAAGTTGTTGATGGTGACGTCTAGGGTTCAAGCTCTCCTCAGGGAGCTCTGATCCTGAGTATTAGGACTAATCTCTCCCTGGGTCCCTGGCATGCAGGTCACCATTCACCCTTGATTTGGGAGAACATTCAAGACAGACCTGAACCAATCTATTTTCAGGAGCCAAACCCTGGCCAGACCAGTACTGGGTTGAAGGCGGAGTGGGGCAGTTAAAGGGCAGGAGAAAAGAGCTTAAGAGATCTGAGGGAGGTAGGCTGTGGTCCAGAAATGCATCTCTGAGGGGCCAGGAGTGCTGGGCATGTCAGCCAGGTGATCAGCCTAGGGGGATGATCTGAATTAATCCCTGTAATTCCTGGACTCAGGGCTCAACCTCCCTCCTAATCCCATCCCAGGACATCATCCTCTTTGAGGACTGATGTAGCCATTTATCCCCCTTTACCCTTATTTCTAAATGCCTAGATCCTTTCATTAAAAAGAAAAAAAAAATGAGTATTTGAAACATGCAGAAAAGTATAGTACAGAGAATAACCTAACAAATAACCATGTGCACAGAACTGAAATCCAACAACCATTCAGATCTTGCCACATTTGATTTGAGGAAGCCCTCTATTTATGTTTTCCAGTCTTACCTGTATGTATGTTTTACCTTTTATGAATGTATCTACAAACAATACATAATTGCAAATTCTGTGTTTTAGAAATTTATCTAAATAGTGGTACATTGTACTCATTCTTCTTTTTCCCCACCCCCCCCCACGTTGTACTCATTCTTCTGCAAACTCTTTTTTTCTTCCCCCCCATTTATCCATATTGTTTCATATAGCTCCAGTTTATGAATTTTTTTTTTTTTTTTTAATTGTGGGGACGGAGTTTCGCTCTTGTTACCCAGGCTGGAGTGCAATGGCCCGATCTCAGCTCACCGCAACCTCCGCCTCCTGGGTTCAGGCAATTCTCCTGCCTCAGCCTCCTGAGTAGCTGGGATTACAGGCACGTGCCACCATGCCCAGCTAATTTTTTGTACTTTTAGTAGAGACGGGGTTTCACCATGTTGACCAGGATGGTCTTGATCTCTTGACCTCGTGATCCACCCACCTCGGCCTCCCAAAGTGCTGGGATTACAGGCGTGAGCCACCGCGCCCGGCCAGTTTATGAATTTTAACTACTGAATACTGTTTCATTGCTTGAATACACTGCAATTTATTTAACCATTCTTCTGCTAATTGGCAATGCAACGATTCTCAGTTTTCCATGTTAAAAACAATGTTGCACTTGACAATTTCATACATTCTCCTAGGATGGATACCTAGAAGTGGAATTTCTGGGTCATAGAGTAGGTGGATCTTAAACTTCATTAGCCATTGCCAAATTGCTCTACAAGGTATAATGTAGTTCGACCAATTTAAACACCACTAACAGTGGCTTTATTTATTTGTCCCTGGGCCCCACTGATTTGGAAGTTATACATTCTATTTCTACTCTGTTAGTGATTACCTCTTTATAGATTTCTAAACATTCTTTCTTAAGTGAATCAGTATCACCATACTTTTTCTGAATAATAGAAAGATCTTAGAACATGTTAACTCTGTTCTTCTTTCCCTGCCACCTCCCATATTTCTGTCTGGTATTTTAGTTTCCCCTTCTTTCTCACCCCTGTAAGCATCATCAGCACCATTATCACCACCACCACCATTTTTATCATCATCACCTGTCTCAATGCTTGCTTAGATCTACTAACATATTTATAAATTTCTCTGTTCACCATTCCTTCTTATTTCAGTTTGCCTCATAAAATATACCCTTTTGTGGTATTTTGGTTTATGTCTTTGAGGGATTAGCATTCCCAGTTAATGTCTTAAAATGTCTTTATTTCATGCCCTTTTGATGGAAATTTAGTAGGCATCAAATTCTAGGTGACAGTTGTTTTCTCTTAGCCTTTTGAAGATATTTTCCCGTATAATCTTTTGCTGCTAATAAGTGACAAAGTTCTTTTCTGCAATTTTAAAAAATAAATCTTTTTTTAAAGCTTGCTTATTTTTTTTTTTTTTTGAGAAGGAGTCTTGCTCTGTTGCCCCAAACTGGAGTGCAGTGGCATGCTCTCAGCTCACTCCAACCTCTCCCTCCCGGGTTCAAGCGATTCTTCAGTCTCAGCCTCCCTAGTAGCTGAGATTACAGTTCGGTGCCCCTACAACTGGCTAATTTTTGTATTTTTAGTCATGGGTTTTCACCATGTTGGCCAGGCTGGTCTCAAACTCCTGACCTCAGGTGATCTGCTCACCTCGGCCTCCCAAAGTGCTGGGTTTACAGGTGTGAGCCATGGCACCTGGCCGAAAAAATGTCTTTTCTATAATCTTTTGATTTCTATCCTTTCTCCCCACCCCCTCAAAATCAATCTCCGGTTGCTAGAAGTGAGCTGCAAATTCAATTTTTATCTTTGTAGGCAAACAGGCATTTTTCTTTCTGGTTGTTTTAAGATTTTTCTCGGGGCCGGGCACGGTGGCTCACGCCTGTAATCCCAGCATTTTGGGAGGCCGAGGCGGGTGGATCACGAGGTCAAGAGATCGACACCATCCCGGTCAACATGGTGAAACCCTGTCTCTACTAAAAATA